GACATAGGAATTGATTGGTGCCTGAACGAGTAGGCGAACTCAATTCACATTGATCAAACGCTCAGGATGTGCCAGCCTCTGTGCTCAGGCCAGTGTGGGAGGGCGTAGCATGGAAGAGGGGCTTGGGGAGGAGGCTGCAGCAACTTAAACTTGATGGTGAGGAATCTCCTCAGAGGGCAGGAGTGGTTGGTGTCCCGGCCTTGAGCAAGTGCCCCTGCTCCAGCCCCACTTGTGTCTCTGGGGAGGGGGAAGGACAGGAAGGTGGGTGTTCACTCTCCAGGGCATCTTCACCATCTGTCCTTCTTAGCCATCCCCCCGCATCTCTGGTCCTCACCACCATGCCCACCGCTGCCTGCAGTCCTCTTCTGTTTCTGTCCGACACAGCCCACACCTAATGCAGAGTTTCCAGACTACTTAGGGGACTGCCACCTCTCAGAAAGTCCTGTCCTCTCTCACTTCTGTACCCAAGTGGAGAGAAAGAAACCCCAGGAAATCAAAGGAGGGAGAATTATTACTCAAGACCCGGAGGAGAAAGGGTGTTCACGAGTGAGGCAACAAAAACTCTGGAGGGTTCTTGCCCACCTCGGAGAACGCTTTTTCCGTGACTGTCAGGATCTTGACCTCCGGCCTGAGGTCAGAGGTCTGTTCAGGCCTCCACACCCTCAGCCTTGGGGACAGGTGTGGAGGGGCCAGCAGGGAACCAGGTCATCTGAGGTCAGGGCCTGGCCAGACAGACCACAGGAGAGAAGAGGTAAGGTATTCTGAGTTAACCCCATTTGTCCCATCAATCAATTTGATTTATTGCTCAGGTTTTTGGCTGTCATTACAGGCACACGCAAACCTAATCCCACCAAGTTTAATCAGGAGAGCTGATTTATAGATTGATTACAACTTAATAGATTTACTGTATTAGGAGCTGAGTGGAACAAGTGACTCATAGGCTAAGTGAGGCTGGCCTGTTCCAGTGGGAGATAGAAAAGGAAAATGAAATCCAAAAAGCAAGGGAGAAAGGGAGGGGGTTTAGGAAGTGAGAAGAGGGAGGCAGGGAAGAGAATCTAAGGAGAGGGAGAGACGGGCCTGGGACATATAGAGAGGAAGAAGGGAGTGGAATTTAGTAAACATGGGGAGAAAGCTTTTGGGACCAACCTAGTCCAGCTCATTATTGAACTTTTCTGAGCCACAATGTCTTTATCTGTAAAATGGGCATAATTAACACCTCCCTCACAGGGGGGCTGTGAAGATAAATGAGACTGTAAATGACATAGAAGGGGTGTGCAGTGGGGAGGGGGATAAAAGGAAGAGGGAGGACAGAAAGATGGAAGGGGATGGAACAGAGAGAAAGATTACAAGAAAGGGAACATTGGCAGACACCGATTTCAGTGCTACCCATAACTGCCATTAACGAGACTGCTCCAGGCCCTCCACATCCAGGCTCCCCTTCTTGCGTAGTCATAAACTTTATTTTTTACCAGAATAAAGTTTCCCAGCCTCCCTTGCTGTTAGATGAGGCCACGTGACAAATTCTGGCCAATGGATGTAAGTGAAGATACATGAATTGATACCTTTAATTGACCCCTCCGTCCCTCCTCCCCCAGGTGGTTCATCACCCTGGATCATGTAGACACGGAAACATCCCAGGAATGGCAAGGTGTCAAGATGGGAGGAACCTGGGTCCCTGACTCTGAGGACACCAGATGAGCATAACTAGTCCTGATGATTTTGAGGGAACTGAGCTACTTTACTGCTTTAGAACTGTATGAAAGAGAGAACTAAACCAAATATCTCAGTTAAGCCACTGCGATGTTGCATCTTCTTAATATGCAGCCCAAGCATAGTCTAACTCAGGGATGTCCGAACACACTTTTGGAGATAATGAACATGTTCTCTATGGGCACTATCCAAAATGGCAGCCACAAATGGCCACTGAGCACTTGAAATATGGCCAGTGCAACCAAGGAATTGAATTTTAAGTTTTAATAAATTTTAATTAACTTTTTAAGTAGCCACAGGTGGCTGTCATGTTGAGTAGTGTGCCAGGTGTCCTCGAGGCTGCCCAGGCCTCTCTGGAGACTACCCTTTTGCCCTTCTAGTTACTTCTCCATGTAGGGAAGAGGCTCCTGGG